CCCCCCCCCCCCCCCCCCCCCCCACCTTATTATCATCCACTTTTGATTATTTAAATGAAACGGCAGAAGTAATCTTAATCAACCATCCATACAACCACAATTGATGACACTTTATATTGTAGTTAACTTAACTAGAACTCAGAATTTACTTGATAAGCTAGATATGATCTAGAGCCATTGCTTGCAATAATACCAGTTAGCATTCTTTCCTATATCTTCAAGATGTTCGGAATTAATTTTGTTGTCTCATTAGAAAAAGTGACAGGTAACTGCGAGATTTAGAAGATTCAAAGGAAATTCGACAGACAATAAAATTAGGCTATGTCGAAGAGTCTTGATCCGACCCAAAAAAATCTGGAGCAAGCTGATTTCATACTTTCATTGAGAAGGGTATGGAAAGCAGCCTTAATTTTTTGCTCTTACACCGTGTGGGTTTTGCTGTGTATTGGGAAAATTGCGTCGACATGACTCGAGATGCGCTCTCTGGACTAGATGTAATTCATGTGATCAGCTATTTTGCGTGTTGCTTTTGACCATGAGAAAAGCTCTTTCAATGGAAAAGAACCATACATTTGGCCAATCTGCAGGATGATTCTGTTTATTCAACTATTCTTCCCTCTTGTCATGCGACCTTAGGGGCCTATTCTATGATAAATTGACCTCCACAAAGATTGTGACAACTTGTGGTAGCGAAGCTCCCCACTGTGTGCAGCCTTCTTTGCAGAGACTGAAAAATTCAATTAACTGTGCCGACAAAGACCGATTTCCCCAACTGTGTTTAGGGAGCATTGAGCAACGACTATAATCTCCTCATTTTTGATAAAAGCTATTCTCTTCCATGAACAAAGTGAGTTCAAGTCAACCATTGTCATGTCATCAAGCATACAAAGGAAGAAAAGTTTCGTTTTAAGAGAAACACAGTTTGCTCAAAGAACGCACCTTGGAAAAACGACCATGTAGCACTGCACAGAATTTAACACAAACAGATTGTATATTCTTATACCTCGATTCTCACAAAAAAACGGAAATCGCTGTTTAAAGAAAATATTTATTCCGTTAGGGGCATCTATTCGAATGTGCGCGCAGCAAGTAAAAAATATATACATATCCCGTTCACTCATTCAAACCGGCTCGGTTCCTGTTTATACGCGCCCGCCGACCTTCAATGCGTTTAGCATCTCGTTCGGAGGCAAATCGATCCCGTCGACTAGCAGCCCACAAAGCGATAGAATTGGATTTCCGTCGTGGATCAATTCGGTGAGAAGTAGATGGCATGAGGCTTTTTCGTCGTGCATTATCATAAGCCTTCCGTCTTTGGAAGGCACTAAGAGTCTCCCTCGGTTCGAAATTCAACTTTACCACTAGAAGAAATGGGGATTTAATTTTGTTTTGTAAAAAGAGAATAGAATTGCAAAGGAATTGAAGACTTACCAGATGGTCGAACAGTTGCTCTCCTAGGAGTGACTTCGATTACGGTGGATTTGCGTTCTATAATTTAGATGGAAGTTGGGAACTCACATTTATGTACAACTGAAAGAATTACTCGAAGTTTAACTTTAAAATAGTATAGAAAAAGCAGTGACACTTGTACGGTTTATCGCCCTCCGATTTGACAGCTTTACATACTGCCTTCAACTTAAAACAGAATACGGCCTAGAATATAATTTTTCATTTATAAGGACAGTAGCCAGGGGTGTGCGATAGACCTACCTCCACGTGGTGCACCCTGGGCAACGTATACTCATACGGCAAAAAAG